GAAGCATGTCAAAACTTATTGTACTGTTTCTATTATAGTAGCACATGTAGCATAAACACACATTATGAAGATAGCCAGTGTTTCATGGCATTTACCAGTTATGTCATGACAGAATGTGATTGACTGACAAGACAAATACCAGAGAGAAAAATGGCAGTAGAGTAACAGAAAGGCTAGTTAACCAAGTATAGCAAGAAATTATATGATTTAACATCTGGCTAAATAGTAATATACCTTTGTTCTAATATACAAGACAGTTATTAACACATAAATCAATAAATATATTTATAGTACAAAATGGAAGAAACACAATTAGCAGGATATATGTATTTTAGACAATGAAAATAATGCTGATATCCATGTCAAAACACACCCCCAAAAAAGAGAAAAATTACCTTTTCATTTTGTAATCCATCTCTTGGCCCAACTTCTACAATCTTTATGTACTCAGGCAGTCCAGATGCTTGAGATTCCTGAAATACAAATCAATATTAAAACAAAACAGTGAAGGTCACTAAGATCAAAGGTATACCTTGTACTTGTCTTCTCATATGATTCTGGGTATAAAGTCATATTGTCAACAGTAACTTTGCTCACAGCCTTTGAAAATCTGTGAGAATATGTTCCACACCTTGAGTCAGGGAATAAAAGTTAAAAGCAGAAGTTACCTGCACGCATGTTCCACTGCTCCTCTGAGGCCACAAATGTTTATCATAAAAATGTACATAAAACCATAAATGAACATTGGGTTTTACAGAGTGAGAAATATTCCCATTTCGAAAAGCTCCCCAACGAACAATCCCGTTCCCCAAACTTCTAACTGAATGTTCTCAATTTAACTGAACAGTTACTTCTCTGTAAATGTTTGCAAGACCGGGCTATAAATCTGAAAAGAACAGAGCAGTCAAGAAATGTTGAAGAGATTATTAATGAAAGATGAAAGTAATTCCTCTGCCTGAAGATGAAGGTTTTAAAGAAGGATTTAAAGGAGAACAAGGAAGGCCCCTGGTAAACAAGAAGAATTTTCCAGGTGTAAAGGAAGATCTGGAAAGGCAGGAGGCTGAAAGCGAAAGGAGGGAAGGAAGGCAGCAGTAAGGTCAAAGGCCTAAGGAGAGCACAGGGAGTTGGAGGGGGAGGAAGGAGAAACAAGAGCAGAAAAGCAGGTGAAGGGAAATGAAACTTCCTTTTTTATTATTTAGCTGCCCTGTTATTGAATCAAGTTGACAGGTGTGGCAGTTAACATAACCTGGGCCTTTAAGTCCTGAAACAGTTCAGAGCTCAGACTGACCCCCAAAAAAGCTGTGTGTCTTTAAAAAACAAATCAAATGGCCAACTTGGGGCACGCTGCCAGCACCTGTACAAGCAGGCAGGAGGGACGCCGGCAGCCCCATCAGGAGCTCCGGAGATGCCCTGTTTTTTGTATTGCGCCGAATACAGAATCCGACCTGGTGCCTTCGTTCCGGTGGCGAAAGCCCGTGCTGGGATAAGACAGCTGCTCCCGCTACACCCACCATCTCCCCTGAGAGTTAAATTCCATGGGAAGGATGACACTGCCAGCCCAGGGGGATGGCTCCTGCCCATGGGAGTCGCAGCTCGCCCACAGACCAGAAATGGCTTCTGCAGTGCTTAAGTACGGCCACTAATCTCACATCATCCACAAACAGATGAAAACCCCCGTTTTCATTCCTCCCGGGCTAGTACCATCAGGGTCGTTTCAACCAAATGGATGCTAATTTCTCCTCATGGTAAGGGAAAATGAGCACTCCTACAGCACCTTTGGTTTCTCCCCACGTTCTTTTATCCTCACGTGGATAAAAGTCAGCTCTCTGCAGCAACAGCCACAACACTAGCCAAAATACAATAAACATATTTCAGAGCATTTACTGTGTATTTATCTGAGCCCAGTAAAAAGAATGGGAAACAGCTGTATAATATCTATTTGATCACGTGGAACATCTGGTAAGTTAAAACTCTGTCAGGCTGTGCTAAGCCCACACTCGCTGACAGTATAAACCTACTTAAATGTGAAGGTTTTACCTTCACATCTGCTGCATATTGTTTCTCTTTTTTTAAGTTATTTTCACAAATATGGCACTGCTTCAGCACTACGGGTATAAATCTGGGTTATTTCATGATTATCAGATCCTTCTTGTTACAAGACAAATGCCACAGCTGCGCTACGAGTAAAGCTGTGATGGGGAAAAAAAAAAAAAAAAAAAAAAGAGGTAAAATAGATTATGTGAACCAAAACTTAATTTAGAGCATGAAAAATGTCCATAAAACTTCGGTGGCAAAAATGTTCAATTTCTAGGCCAAAGCCTGTAAATCCTATTCAGTTCTTACTGTGGTAAAACTTTTGCTGAAATCAAGGAGCTGTACCTGTCTTTACCAAAGAGTTCACACAGCTACAGCACGTGCAGTAGCCATTGACACATCCATTCAGGGGATGTCTGCAGCCCTTGGATTTCATAGGGGACAGAAGTTTGGAATGGACTTTGCAAAAGGTGTTCAAATATTGATTTTCATTCTCCATCTGTGATATTATAGGCATATAATCTCTTTGAGCCATACTCCAGGGCCTCTCATCCCCTGATTTTCTCTGCAGGCTTCCTGTCCACTAGTCAGTTTCAACTCCAGTTCACTGTTCTTGAACACGACACTGAGAACCGTGTACAGGATAATTCTCACACGGGCCATGCAGTGGAAATTCAAGGCAGTACTACAGACAAATCCTTACATTCTTCGAGCTGATCAACTAATAGCTTTGAGTAAAGATCTTCATTCTTAGTCCAGAAGAGTCTTGCTTTGCATTGAATTTCATCTAGTTTCATCTATAGTACTTGATTGCTCCTGTCTTCAAGGTCACTCAGTTCCTCCTGTGTGGTATCCAGTGCGGTACTGATAATGTCTCCTGTCTTTCTGTAATCAGCAGATCCTACCAACTTGCTATTTCCTGGTGAAAACATCTGGACTAACATTTTACCACAAACACATATTATCTCAAAAAATAGGGGTTAGTGCTATAGAATAAACACATCTTCATAAAAGACATGAGGAACTCCACCAGCAATGCCTCTTTGGTCTAATAAATCTGCTTTCAACATTATCTCTTATTTCCTCCTCAGCCAGCTTCTTATGCATCTCGCAAATCCTGATCTGATCATCCTTCTCCCCAACTTCACTAATAATTTCTCTCATACTGCATTGATGAAGCTCAGATAACCAGCAAGTAAAAGGGAGGCAGAATACTTAGGTTCAGGCCCCTGTGTACTATTTATGCATTTTACAGTGCATAATCACTGGATAAAACTGAGAAACAAATCAGAAACTGTATGAGTACATGTACCATCTTCTGCTAAGATGACTCCAGCATTTTTCCATTCTGTGGCCCAAGCTGAACCAGAGGAGAAAAGGAATACCTCTTCACCTTAATCTCACCTGTCCTATGAACAAATACTCAATAACTAGCTGTTAGGATATTCTTCCAAGAAGTTGGAGATACATACTTGATAATGTGGTTGGGAAGAAAAAAGAGACTTCCTGCTTTCTTGGGAAGTCTTCTGACCACAGCGTCACACTTGCAGAATATTTGGACATCACTTGAAACACAGATGAAGAAGTCACCTGAGCCACCAGTCACATTCTGTGCCAGACTCAATGCCATCTGCATTCACTAGGCAAGCTTCAAATCCACAGAACAGACTGAAGTCTTTAGGAACTTATGCAGAGTTTAACACTTCTCTGTTTACTATCTGGACAGCATTAGACCTTAACCAGGACTCGGGCTTCCTCAATTGAGGGACCGAGTTCCCCGAACTCTAACTGGAGGATTCCAAATCTGCATCATCCCCTTGGGTAAAAGCAAGGATTTTCAGAACCAACAATGAGACAAACTTAGAGAATTTCAACACCTTCAAGTACAGCATTAAATAGTCTACAGATAATAAATAGAAAATATAAATAGAAATAAATAGAAAAATGAAAAATAGTTTTTATATTTTAAGAGAATCTAAAAAAGGTGAACCTTACATAAATACACAAGTACTTACATTAAACACTAAACATGTCAGGTAAAGAATTTTGTTTCAGAAAAAATATTTACTGAATTGTATTGTATGAAGTATTTCATGTAACGAAGCATAAAAAGTAGTTATGGTAGACATTGAGAGGTGACTGCTTATTGAATTATATAGTGGCTCTGTTAAAAAGTAATGACTACCAAAGTACAGGGTTTGAAATATCAAAAAGGAAACAGTTGACATAAAAGACTAAGAGCCTGGAAAATTTGTTTTTTCCATGTATCAAGCCTTGCCAAGGGAGAACAAAAAGCATATAAAACCACAAAAAATTGCCTCCCTCAAAACAGAATGCAGCCAAAGAATCTTTTGTAAAAAAACAGAAAAAGGAAAACCGTACCATTCAGCTTGAGACACTGAATGCCAAATTTCTGTACGGAAACATTTTCCCTGAGTTATAAATAGCTGAAAATTCAAGTTTATTATAGAAAATCCTAGTAACCCTTAATTAGAGCAGTATAATCTTCTTCGTATAACCATAAATGTAATCAAATTAAATAAACATACTTTTTAAAGTTCTGTCACTGCTTCAGTACGTCTAGTAAAGGTTGCTGAGGTTCATTCAGCCTTATGATTTTTAGTCCACACAGCCCATTCATTTGGACACTAATAGCATTGGCAAGTATAACCCAGAGCTGCTCAAAAACAACTGAAAGGACCCAAAAGTAAGGGAGAAGAATCTGGAGGTTCAGGTCTTTTCAATCTTTCTAACCAAGCAAAGACGAAGCTCTGCTTTCCTTTTCCACAAGGTGGTGTTCTGGCACAGAGGACAGCTGAACAAAGGTAGGTCCATCTTGTACAAGGAAGAATTATTCAGGAGAGGAGTTTTAAACAATAATCAGCAGGGAGGTGGCATTGTAACTACATATGTACATGTGCAGTGACATGGACAAATGCCCAAAAACTAGGAGAAGGCTCTGACATAAATAATATGATTGCTGGAAGTAGAACAAAGAAAACAGTGGTCAACCTTCTGAACATATAGATGTCTCTAAACTTTACAAGACACAGAGGAAATAAACAGGAAGAAATTAAAAACTCAGTACATAATCAAATAATGATTGAAGTGGTATTGCAGAGACTCGTTTATATAGTTCACACTACTGGAAGGCCAGTATAAAATGTATTCATTCCCAAGTTAACGAGGGGGAAAATGGAGATTTGCCCGTGAGATATAAATAATATATACAGATATTCAGAAAACAGTGGGACACACCTGGTAAATATGGCTCAGTAAAGATAAACTGAGTATTCATCCTAGAGCTTCTGCCATATGCTACTGAAATGACCACTGGGAGAACAGTAGCCAGGCCACGACTAGCAAAAAAACTCATCAGCCCTTGAGAAGCTTTCATTAAGTAATTTTTTCTTATGATATCATTGCATATTCATGACCTGAATGATAACATAGAAATACCACAAACAAAGCAGTTGCAAGTGCTTTACACAACAGGCCTGGAATTCAAAATTCCATTGACATACTAGAGAAATAAATATGATGCATTTCAAAAAAAGCAATACACACCACTTAGGACGATCCTTATTGTATCTGATGCTGACTGACTAAAAGAATTTTTGCATGTTGTCCTTTACAAATTCTATCATGCTCCATTTTAATAATTTTGACCCCCAAAAAAAAGACTTTTGTAAAATAAAAGACAGAGATTACCTGACTAAACAGTTCTATAGAAAAGGACTGGGATAGTAAAACAAATAACAAACTGAATATGAGTCAATAAGAAAGAAAAAAGAAGAAAATGAAATGGCAAATCTAATCTTAGGCTATAAACAGGGATGTCATAGATAAAACAGTAGCCTGCCACTTAATGAGTAGAATTACTGTGTCTAGTTTTGGACTTCCTACTTCAAAAAAGAATTCAATCAATTGGAGATCATCCGCAGGAGGGCAAAATATAAAATGCAAGTAAATCATTACAGAATGAAATGAGTTAAATGCAGAGTTAACGTATGTGGAGTAAACCAAATAATCGTTGAGGTCAGAAGGGACCTCAGATCTTCTAGTTCAACCATCCCCACTCAGAGCAGGGTCAACTAAAGCAGGTTGCCCAGAACCATGTTCAGTTGGGTCTTGAGTATCTCCAAGAATGGAGACTCCTGGGCAACCTGGTCCAGTGTTGTCCACCCTCACAGTAAAAAAACTTTTCTGATCTTTACATGGAATTTATTGTACTTCAGTTTGTGCCCATTGCCTCTTGTCCTGTCAATGATTTTGTCTTCTTTATCCCTGCCGCTAGGTATTTGTACACATTGATAAGATCCCCTGAGCCTCCTTTTCTCCAGGCTAAACACTCTCAGCTCTTTCAGCCTCTCCACATATGACAGAGGCTCCAATCCATTAATCATCTTCATGGCCCTTTGCTGGATCTGGTCCAGTATGTCTACATCACTCTTATACTGGGGATTAAACCTACAGGTAT